AAACAATCCATAGAATGGCCATTCCAAATACATTTTGTTAACTAAGTGATGAGTGGATAAATATGTTGAATCTTTCAGACTATTTCGTAATATCTTTGATTAAGTCGCTAGTACATTTCAATTTACATATTAGAAGAAGTTGCATATTTATTTTTATAAACATTGTATTTCTCGATGTTGAGATAATTGTGCTTTGTGGAATATTATTTTAAAATCATTTCGAATCTTTCATATGATTTCGTCTTACTGTTTATCACTCGCTCGTTTTAATCAGCTAGTCTTAACTGCCTTTCACTTATTCACTTCAAATTCAATGCATTTTGAATGCCGAAAAGACCACTTTGTTTGTGTATTAAAGAAACAGTTTATTTATCTCTCTAACGTTATTATTTAACAAGTTGCTATTTCTTTCATGAACATTAAACAGCATGTATGTAATTATCACGATAATTGTACGTAGAGGTCACATTTTTAATTGTCAGGAAAATCGAAAATAAAATTAAGTACTTTTGAGTTTGTATTATTTTCTTCCTAACTTACAATATTATTGCATACAAAATACTAGGTCGGACGCAAGTAAGCTAAATATTTCACTTGTATTTGAAAATTCTATCGAGCGTCGAAAGAATTTTACCCGTTAAAAAGTGTACCAAAAAACCCTTCCTATGCAGTTTTCTTTGGGAAGCAATTGGCTTAGATAGTTTGTTCCGACATGTGTTGACAAAATTCACGCAATGAGAAGCCATACATTTCGAACTTGTGACCTCTTGGTCAGTGCATGTGAAGATTACGCATGGCAATTAGTGTCTGGAAAATAAATGATTTGACAGGTTAAGATTTGTTCTCATTTTAAATTAAATACAAACACAAACCCGTTATTTTCTTTGTTATTTTATACCGTCCCTTATATCAGACAGATTATTTTAAAAACGTGTTGTTTAGGAAGATTAATCTTATGCATTTGTTTTATCTCATCTAATAAACTGAATTTACCCATGACACGAATTACATGCATGTAAGTACGCGTAAATGTTTATGTGGAAGAGCGCCCAAAATAAATACACTTCGAACTCTGGAATTTCCCTATTTTACTGTTTAAATCATAGATCCGCTCAGCTGACGAGTTGTTTTAATAACGGTAATAAATTATATTCAAGTCCTGGCCAGCGATCGTTACGGTTGGTGACACTGCAATTAAACAGGTCGATACTCAGGTACTAAGATACTAACGGGTATATATATTTTCACCTAATATGTTTTCATTAAGTGTTTTCATAAGAAGTAAATTGCTGGATGATATCATGTTCTCCCTGATCACATCGATAGCGTGTAGAAACAGCGGTGCATGAACACACGCTTTTGTGTACAAAGCAAACGTGTAAACCAAAAGGATGGGAAAAAACGACGAAATAAAAACATTTCTCTATTAACTGAAATTATTGTCTTTAGACAGATAAAAATAAATGATTATCCGCCTGAGAACATGTGAAAATTATACCCAAATACAATGTAACGAAGGATTTGGGGTTTAATCCCGAGTACACAATTATAGCAATGATGTGTACATGTACATGCAGAATACTGCTTTTTTATCCTTCGTCCATGTGTTCCTCCTTAACGGAAAAAATTATCATTAAATTATATTATACCGAACGAGGTTGAAAAATGACGAACTTTATTTCTTAAAATTAACAGCAATTATCAGACTTTTCTCATATCACTGTAAAAATGCCCTAAAAAACTAAAACCGTCTTTTTGACTTTGTCAACGCGTTTGATAGATAATGAAAAAAAAAAAAAAAAAAAAAAAAAAAAAACGCTGGCAGATTTAGAGGAGGTTCAGGGGGCCTGCCCTCTTTTGTATCCAAAATATACACAAGATTTAATAAATCAATTTTTTTATGTGGGTTTGGGCCCCTACCCCGACACAAAACTGGTCGGGCCCCCTTTTCAAGACTCCTGTATCCGCCACTGAAAAAGAATGTGTTGTTCTCCTGGATGTCGATATCTGAATTATGATTTAATTAAACACCTTGTCTAATATATCATGGGCGCCCATAATAGGACGATTATTCGTTTTTTAAAATAAAGTGGTTCTTACAGATGTTAAAAAAACTTATAAACGGCTAATTAATTATTTTATTCATCTACAACAAATGTTAATTAGTTCTTTGCTTACATAATCCAACTTTTATAAATTAACACGAAAGTCGTGCGATCGTATACAAATACTCAGAAGCAATCTTTCATATTTAATGAACGTATAGGTGAATAAATTTCCTCTCATCACTATACGTATACCCCCATCCTCGAAATAAATAGAAAGTTTTCCTTTCGCAGTCGGTTGGTTTTACCAGGTACATGTCAGTACAAGTGAGGATGGAGCTTTACAGAAGCAGGTGATGAATTCCGAGAGAGATAGGCACTGCCTATTTTATATACATGTACATTCCTAGGGACCTTGTTTTCTGAACCGATGTCACTGTTATTCAAAGACCTAGCTAGAAATTCTCTCTCTCTCTCTCTCTTTGAAATGCAGGCCCGTCGATTGTAAAAAAAAAAGACAAAATAATTTCAATTTTTAATAAGTATCTCACCTTCCAAGCCTCCCAAAAAAAAAAAAAAAAAAATTTCAACCCAGAAATTTCTTGACGAGCCAAAAAAAGAAACTCTTTTCCCAAACGTGAAAAACCAATTTCGTGTGTGTGTTTGTGTGTGTGTATGGGGGGGGGGGTCGCTGACTTTTAAAGCTTCATACCTAAGACTTTTCATACCATTTTAACACAGATCCGCGTTTTCGAGGAAGGGTCCGCGTTTTCTAGGGGGGGGGGGGCATGGTCACTTTTACTTGGCTTAGTATATACATTTAACTGCCCCCAAACCCCTCTAGATCCGCGCATGGGGTCATTTGAAAATAGTATTCTCAAGAATCCCTGGACTAGAATGAGAAAATTTCCAACATAGCATACATTCATTTTTTTTTTCAAATATTGATTCCAGGGAGAAGGTTTGGGCCGGAAAGAGTGTTCATAATTTAACATAGGAATTTATATATCCCCCCAAACGAAGTGTGTGGGTTTGGGGTGGAGGTGTTTTGAGTCTTCTGGAATCACACTGTCCGTCTGCCTAGCTGTCCGTCTGTACGTGATAGTTTGCCAAGGATATTATAACTTTGTTATGAAGAAACTGGAAGGTCAACTTGGTACAAAGATTACTAATGATCCGAGGGTGTGTCAAGGTTTTGATCCAATGTCATTCCGGCAAGTTCAAGGTCACTGGAAAAAAATAGCAAGTATCATACTTGATACAGGAATTGCTTATGACAAAATTAAATGGTTTGACACGACCTTCATCCAAGGTCATTCCTGTAAGTTCAAGGTCACTGACAGAAAAGTGTAAGATTACTGTATGTGCTATAATTTTGGAGCTCATACTTGGAACAAAGATTGCTTATGATCCACCGGTTTGAGATAACATAGTACTAGACTGGCAGAAGAAATGGCAAAATTCGTGCCTGGATTATAAATTTATAAGGGGTGGGAGGAACGCAGGAAACTTTTTCTCAGATTGCTTGAGATGGGTTTGTCCTGACCTTGAACAAAGGTTTTTTCGGCAAGTTCAAGGTCACTGGCAGATAAATATTATTTTTTTTCCACATGCTATAACTTTGTTATATAAAATCACTGGAAGCTTTTACTTGATACAGAGATTGCTTATGATCCAAGAATGTGTTTTGACCTTGATCCAAGGTCTTTCTGGCAAGTTCATGGTCACTGACAGAAAAGTGCAATATTCTTTTTCAGGTATATCTTTGTCATTGGGTATCACTGGAAGCTCATAATTTGTTCAAAGGTTGTTTTTGACCTTAACGTAGGTCATTTAGGCAAGTTCAAGGTCACTGATGTAATAAGTGTAAAATTCAAAAAGGTCTAGTCGCCCAAGTGGCGCAGTGGTAAGAGTGTCTGCTCTAGAGTCGTGGATTATGGAGTTGATCCTTACGTCGCAGGTTCGAATCCCACTGTGGGACGCAGAGACTGATCCTTCGGATGAGACCGTACAAACTGAGGTCCCGTCTGGTAGTAGGTGCTGACACGAAAAAGATCCCTCACTGCTAAATGGCCATGTGTGCCGAGTATAGGTCAAAATTTGCAGATCTCCATCGGCAAATGGTGGCGTCTCCATATGATTGAAAAATTCTCGAAAGGGACGTTAAACAACATACAAACAAATAAACAAAACGGTATATACTTTTGTAATAGAAAAAATTGCATGCATTTGCATTTCACTGAAAAGATGATAAATATATCATCAAGAGTGTGTAATGGCCTAGACTTAAATTCGAGGTCACTTAGAATATGATGTTTTGGATAAATAGTCTGAAAGAATACGTGACTGTGATTTTTTTTATGTCGGTGACATAAAGATGGTGTTTGCTCTTAACCCGCTGCAGAATGTGTCATGGCTTGACGCAAAGTTATTTGGACAAGTTCAAGTTCACTGACAGTGGAATTTTACATTCCTTTACTGTCTTTCTACTGTTGAAACATTGAAAGTTGATGCCCCTTACAGGATTGTTTATAACCTTAAAATGTTGCATGACCTTGACTCAAGGTCGCTCTGTCCTGTCCGGAGCTCCGACGGAAGACCTATTCGTTGCATTGCAACGAGCTCGGCTCTAGTTGTATTTATTTTACAATAAAATATCATGCTATCATTCAGTATCACAACCTTTGATATAGACTAAAAGTGCAATCTTTTTTAATTATTTTATTAATAAATGAAATGATACATTCCAAAGAATAAAGCAAACAAATCACATTTATACATGTATTAATATTCTTTGGGATAGTGTTTTTACATGTATTAACTACATTTTTTCTTCATCAAATAACGAATTATATTACTCTGTTACTGTCTTTTCCAATCGTTCTTTCGAACGTATAAATCCCTGAGTTTACAACATGTGGGTCACAACAATGAATCAGAGATAAAAAAAAATAATTAGTCATTAAAGGTGAAGACGTCATCGGAGCAACCAAGGTCACTTTCTGGCACAGAGGGCATCACAAGATTGACACTATCCTTCTTTAGTCTTTTGTCATTTCGCCTCAGTGACTCGTTTATTTTGGAGACGATCCTCTCCCTCCAGGAATCCTCGGGTTTGAATTCTGGGAAGAAGTAACACACATAGCGCCTCACCACTTGCTTTCTCGCTGGATCCAGTTCTTTTTTGGAGAGTTTTCCACCACCGTACCAGTTGTACTCCATTCGCAGGTTGCCCTCACCGTACAGTTCGGGGAAGATCTTCCTTGTGAGATTAACTGCGAAATTTCCTGCGTTCCTTGATTCCTTAATCATGTCTCTGAGGACGGTATCTGGAAGTTGATATTCTTCGGGAACACCTTGGTACACATCTCCAGGACTACTGTCACTCATCGTATCAGCAATAGGATCACTGGTTTGCAGGAACTCCACTCCACTTGCAGCTGGGATTTTCCTGACCACATCGATAAGAATGTTTGTATTAGCAAGCACTGTCTTTAATTGTAAATCTGACGCTGTTCCCCTCCTATTCGACGCATCAAGTTTTTTGTTGATAACATCCAGAGTCTGTCGCATTTCCTTGACTTCTCTCATTAGCGCCTTCACCAAATCGTCGTCATTTGTCGAAGTCCGGTAAGGGCGGAAACGCACAACTGGGGTTGTTGACGCTGGCGTTGGGATTGGAGTGAGTGACTCTAACTGGGCTGAGGGATACCCTGATGCCGTTCGTGAAGTCTAAATTTGGCGATACTGGACACCGGTTTCAACAAGATAATGACCCCAAACACACCTCAAAATTATCCAAGAGTTTCATGGAAAACAACAACATCAACTGGTGGAGTGAATGGCCTGCAGGTAATTGTATTTAAAAAATTGAATTAATTTATTGACGGTGATTAACAATAAGACTTCAAAAATAAAATATCTTTTTATCATTTTTTATTAAAAATTAATTTTCTGTTTTTTCTTTATGTGCTTACGTAATGCATAATTATTTTTATTAATATACATGAAAGTGTTATACGCATTCTAATTTAAAAATATATTTTCTACAGAAAGCCCCGATCTAAACCCGATCGAAATGGTTTGGAATGAGCTCAAAAGGTGTGTTGCCCGCGAGACCCCTAGGACCAAAAGCGAGTTAGAGGAGTGCATTAGAAGATTCTGGAGGACACAGATGTCGGTGGAAAAATGTTGTACATACATTGACCATGTGTTTAAAGTTGTGCCAGCGTGTGTGATTATGAGAGGAAATGCTACTGGTGACGTGCCAAAGAAACTGTTTCCCGAAAAATCCCGAGGAAAAAGTATTGCGTACTTCAAGGACAAGCTGAATTCCGACGTAGAAGTTCGCACGAGGGCCTCACAGTTGTTAAAACAGTGGGTGTAAAATATTCATCAGCAGTGTTTGTGTATTTACTGTGAATCTCAACATTAAAACAACGTTTAAAACAGTCTGCCAAACTTGGACAATTAGCGTGATTAAGACAATTTTTTAAAGATTTATTCATTATAAGCTAACAACATATCATTGTCTTGATACAGTTGTACAATTATGAAATGATCGTGTGACGATGTGACATTCTATTGTGAATTTTAACAAATTAATGTTTTCTACTATAAGAAATGTATTGTATTTCATTGATTTCGTTTAATGGAACATGTGATTTTGATTAATAAACGTGAATATAGAACTTGTACTTACCAGATTAGCCGTTGTCTTCCTGCGTTTTGGAGAAGGGGCTGACAAAGGTGATCTGGGTGGGGTTGGGGATCGTGGAGATGTTGGTGAGCTGGGTTGGGATGGCAGTCTTGGTGGGGAAGTTGATCTGGATGGGGGGGTTGAGGATGCTGCAACTGGGTTTGGTAGAGGTACCAACAAATCCTTAATTTTCTCCCGCATCTGCTGTTCAGTCCCAGAAAACAACACAACAGCCCTGTCCACTTCTTTTGGTTTACCCCACTGTACATCATACTCAAGTCCAACACTAATTGTAGAGTCTCCATCACACTTGAAGGACACACGATTTCTCACTTGCAGTTCATCGTCACACAAATACCGCACAATAAAATGAGTGTCCAAACGCTTAAGTCGCCTAGCCATGATCCACAGTTTATAGTCAAAAACACAGAAATAAGTCCCCTCAGTTCAATCACTTGTGTAAGACTGATGAATGTTCAGTGTAGTATCAGAAAAATTGTCGGTTTCTATAGATTTCTTTTAACATTTTAATTATGAGTCTAATGTTAACACGCTACCCATTATAATACATTTCTGATGGCCTACTACGAAAATGAAATTGAACTTAATTGATAGTAATTAGTCACACTAGATCGGTCTTTATTGAACATGTTGAACAGAGTTGAACGATCAATCGAACGATGTTTATACAGTAATTTTATATCTCCGAAAGTCAGTAAGAAAATTAATCAACTTTAATCATTATTTCATTCTTTTTTCTAGCTGTGTTTTATTTTCTCTTTTCTTTTCTTTGTAATCTAATCGGTGTCTATAGAGTATTTTCATTAGCTTTCCAATATAAAAAAAAATAATTTCCAGTAGACAAAAAAAAAAAAGTTGAAAGTGTACATCACACATACTCGGTACCATTTTTACATAATACTTCCTGTCTCATAATACATTCATGAATTTTTGTAATAATCGAAAAGACTATCTGTCGATTGAATATTTTGATATTATTCATATAGAAAAAGCAATTCTCTCTCTCTCTCTCTCTCTCTGAATATTTATTTCCGTAAGTTTTTATAACATTGATATTGACACCATAGTAGTATGACATTAATGAATGTATATGTTTAAATTATATATATTATATATATATCGACAGAATATCGCTATCAAACCTTTGTTGAAATTTTGATAAGCAGGTATATTAAAATATTTATTAAATATATTTTTATATGTATTTTTAAATAAATATTATACTCAGTTTCATAAATGTATATTTTAATAACGTAAAGTAAAATTACGATATCTTCTTCACGAAAAAAAAAAAAAATATTCATACAAGTATTCTTTCTTTAATAGAGACATAATTTTATTGATTTTTCAACGCTGATAATTTTTCCATAATTTTCCATTGGGGGAGATAACTCGCGTTTGTTTACAATACTATCCTCGCTCAGAAATCTAGACTTTGCACCGCGACGGGGAATTAATCTAACCGCGGGGATGAGCGGTGTTACCTGATTTACCTGGCCAAACCGCGATGAGATCAACACCGCCGCGACGCGCGGTAAATGACCAAACCGCGTTGCCCGTACTGTAATTATAGGTTAGAACAGATGTGAAAGGAGGGTGATTCCAACTTTCTGAAATAGTTTTTGACGGTTTGTTCTCTATCTATTTTTTAACATTCTCCCATCCCCGCCTCGTTTACAATTTTGTCTTACACACAATAATTAATATTTACATTGTATAAATGTATTTTTACCCTAGTAGATAATGTGAGATAGGTTTTTAGTTATAATCATTGAAGCATGCATAGTTGTATGTAAGTACATGTAATAATATTGCATAAACGGAAGGATCTGAATTGAAGTAATTGAAGTATTTCAGACCATTATAATATTGCCACGATACACGCCTGAACTTCAATAATAACCCCAAGTTTGAGCTTATTACATTTAATGAACCTGATTAAAATATCGCGTTAAATCCTACAGGTTTTAAAATCAATTATATATTTATTATTATTACTTGAATTCTGATAGTTGATTTAGATCTTGAATCTCGAAATTCGAATTTAGACTCTCGCATTTCGAATTTCCTATTTGGAATATCGAATATAGAATGAATCTTCTGGACCTTCGTAGGAGAGGAGATGCGGGTGTTTCTTGGAAATGTGGCCATATACAGCTTATATAGATAGCGTCACTTTTTTTCTAGATGACATGAAGTGTGCATGTACACTTTTACAACTTTTATTTTATTTTTAGCTGCCTCTGTCTTTTCCGTACGGCTCTTTCTGTGTAATTTTTGTTTAATTTTCTTGTTTCAGACCACAAGAAGTATAATTATGTTCAAATTTATGCAATATTTATTCAATTACATCAAAAATTATGTTGTTAATATTCAGTTATCAATGATATTCACCATTTGGCTATTCAAACTATTTTTAAAAGACATATAATTGTACAATTAAATATTATTTATATCTTATTTATTTATTTATTTGAAGATATAATATTTTATAATTAACTACACTTATCTACATTATTAAATTAATAAATAATAAAATAACATATGTGGCGAAAAGACAGAGTATTTTACAATATAGCTTACTATTAATTTCCTTTGAATAACTAAGTGAAATATTTAGTTTTCATATAAACTTGACGGTTATATTAACAGTTTTCTTATAAACATGACCAAAATCAGTCTGTAGTAGTTATTTATCTATCATGTCTTTGTTTAAGTCATCCAAGTCATCTTGCTTGTTCCCGTTCGATAGAGATCTGTAAAGACTTGACGTCAACTTCATCATTAATAAGTGAAAGTCCTTTTAAGGAATTCTAAGAGTGGGTGAATTTACAGTTAGAATAAACAAAGGACATCAACAAAACACAATTCTAATAGACAGTTGGAACATAAATTATGAAACACAATCTCTCTTATTAACTATCCAGTTTTCAAAAACAGATCAGTTTGGAAAGGGGACAACATTACAATAAGACAAGCAGGGTGGTGTAGCATGTCCATATCAGCTCGTTCCCAAATACGTCAGAATCCGTCCAGAGGGTTCAGGTCCACTATTTCGACATTTCGATTTATCCCTATTCACTCGATATCAATTTACAAGCGTACTTTGTAAGGCAGTTAAGCACCTTAATTTGCCCGATAGCTCAGGATAAACATTTCACGCTTTCCGTATAGGTGCCAGTACTGGTCTTGCTTTAAAGAGTTTTAACTGATGACATTCAGAGATTTGGGCGTTGGAAATCTTCTTATAATTCCTATATTCGCATACCAAGGATTTGATTTACCAGTAATTTCAGATACACAGACAATATGGTTGGTGGGTTCCTCAATAATTAAACATTCATTTTTGGAAGCTGTATTAAGACCAGGTGGTACAAATTGACACTAGAGAGACAACACATCTCCCTGTGGTGGCAGGGTTATAGTAGCCTCCAGTTAACTAAAACAAGACAAAGATTAGAAAACTTGAAAAGGTGGGTTCTGTACGTAATTTCTTTTTCACACATTGTGGGGAAATGACGGACAAGTTATCGATCAGAAGAATATGAGTTGTTGCAAAACAGTTGCTATTTTTAATAAGAAAATACTTTCAAAACATTAGATTTATATGTTCATTTATCCTTCCGCGTCTACAATGGTTCAATTTATCAAACTTAAAAGCCATGGAAAATGCACGCATACGTGTTAATTCATATACAGCTACAATTGTCTTGCAATCTGAGAGTGCAATAATCCGTCATACAGACATAAAACCTGATCAAGCTTTGTTTTACAAGATGGGGTTCAAATGTCCTCGTTGGGAAATAACAGTTTTCTAAACTCATTCCAGGGGAGATTTGAGAATATCGTTGCGCATGGACAATCCTGCTTTTACTAAATAGCGAGGGGGCCTGGGCACAGCTGGTCTTATATGCCGCTTTTCACCCACCTTGGTGGCGGAGTTCCCTTGACAATTTTCATTCTGAACCTCGTCCCGGGGAACTTGTGACGTATAAGCGGCATTCTGGATGTAAATATTATAAAGTAAGCTCTGAATTCTGCACCTCCTAAGGCCAATGCTTTCTACATAATGAACTGTGATTTTGTTGTAAACAGTGAACTTTGAACATATTTAGGTGTGATAAACTGTGAACATTGAAGTTATATGAACTTCGACCTACCATTATGAACTTTGACTTTTGATCATGATCTAGCTAATGGTTGTATGTGTAGCTTTAATGTTGAATGTTGTGGTATATGCATTTGTTTTGGGACATGTTAATTGTTGACGACCCATTGCCCATGTTGTATATCATTTGTAAGTTATTCATGATCGCTGTGCCCATCACCTCCACACTTATTCTAATTTATTTTAAAGTTGGCCATTTGTTTGAGTTACACTTTTCTGAGATAATATCACATCCAATTCCATTTAAATTGGATGCTTTTAACGAAGAAAGTGTTCATTTCCCATCTAATAGAATATATAGATCCGCCCTAAAGTTTAATTAACAGTTAGAGTTATTCCCCCTGAGTCAACTCCTTTTTTCATTTAAAGACTCGTTGAATGAGGTATGTGCAAATTTAAAGGGTAATTTGTTACAGAATTAGATAAGTTTGGAAATTACCCTCCCAACCCAACCCCTGTTGAAATGGATTTTTTCTCGTTTTGTTTTTCTTTTTATCACAGCTGTCATATAAATGGTACAGCTGTCAAACACCGCAACAAGTTGGCATACTTAAAGATGATGTACCTGGACAGCAATCTGGATGCTCCTCACTGCTCCTCCCAGGGTCAATTTTTCCTAAATAATGATGCGTATAAGCAGTATTCTGGTAGTAAATATTCTAAAGTAAGCTTTCATCTCTGCACCTCTCACTGTCAACGCTTTCTGTATAGTGAACTTTGAACTTTGATGCTGTTGTAAACAGTGAACTTTGAACTTATTTAGTTGTGTTATACTGTGAACTTTGAAGTTGTATGAACTTTGACATACAATTATGAACTTTTGATCATAACCTAGCAACATGGTTGTATGTTTAGCTTTAATGTTGAATGTTGTTGTATATACATTTGTTTTGGTATATGCTCGTTGTTGATGGCCCATTGTCCATCTTGTATTTCATTTGCAAGTTATTCATGAGAGCCGTGCTCATAATATCGGCAAACTTATTCTAATAAATTTAAAGTTGACTATTCGTTTGAGTTACACTTTTCTGAGATAAACGAATGTATATAGTAATAAAAAATTAATTCAATAAATTTTTGAGAGAGAGAGAGAGAGAGAGAGAGAGAGAGAGAGAGAGAGAGAGAGACTGAAAAAAACATCCTAAGTTCGTGGACGAAATTTAACTTATTAGTCGTTCTATGCCCCCAGATAGGCAGTCTGATAATTTGACAT